CTTAATATATTCAAATGCTTTTGATAACCAAAACTTCAATATCTGAATTAATTAAGTGACACTAAATTTTCTAGACAAAACTTACTCCTAAAAATAAGTGATAAACTATTTACTTATCACTTAATGTGATATATACTCAAATGTATCAGATTTAGTACATAACAATTTAATAACTTAAAGAATTCAGACTTCAGATTTCAGTTTTATCAAACGCATCTTAACTCAGTGCAAACTGAATATGAAATCCAAAGTGGAAAATCCAAGAGGTTAGAACTTTGAAACCATAGGGCCTCTAGGCAAATTCAGCATTTTTACATTCTACTGATTTAGGGCATCTTCAATTATCAGTTTCAACTCCATGGTATAATATAGATATTACCTCTAATAGTTGTACACACTTACGCAACAAATATAGATTGTGAAATTAATTGTATAAGTTTGATATTTTGTAGGTTTTGGGATATAATTTTCACGTTTAGGAAAAAGAAAATATGTTAGTAAGTAATAATGTGATACCCCTTGTCCCACGTTGGAAGTGGGAGAGGAAAAGGATTGATATATATACAAGATTTGGTCGCATAAGTTACTAGTTACTTGGGCTAACCATGTCGGAAAGTGTATTTCGACACAAAAATTACTTAGGCCAACCATGGGCTTGGATGGTGATAAATAACTTACTAGAAGCCAGGCATATTTATGTTTAGATGTCCTAAAAGCAGAGTAGTTCATAATCTAGATAATGGTAACGATATGATGAGAATGTGAAGTTATTTGGTAAACTTTATAGATTAATAATTTCATCAAAGCATCATATACAAGCATGATGACACAATCTCAACTTTCATTCTTTTGTTAAATCTTAGTTTTTTTCTCTTAAATTTTTTCGAATAAAGGAAGGATGGAATTTAAGCAGTAGAGGGTGGAAGGGGATTTTGAATTCAAAATCTCTAATTTCTAAGTTTTTCCCTAAGCAATCGTCAAAATAAAAAAAAAATTTAAAAGAAAAAAAAATGAGCACCTCATGGTCAATGCTCCTGTTCGAAGATTTATTCCTTTGGTTTGTCATCATCTCCCTCTATGAAATCTAAGTACCCTTGGTTGACAATTTGTTTCCCTGAGCATCCATCAACACTTTTATATAGTATTTTTTTTAATATAGTATTAGATTAGATTAGATTAGATTATCAATGCACCATCAATATAGTATTAGATTATCAATGCACCATCAAAACACTTTTATATAGTATTAGATTAGATTAGATTATCAATGCACCATCAATATCCTTAAATATAAAAGCTTAAGTATAGTAATCAAAATACTGTTAGTAATCTGTACGATTATTTTTTATCCTTTAATGTTTTAGTTTTAGGAAGATCACAAATGCTGCGTATAAAGCATGCCATAGGCTAAATTAAGCTAAATTAAGTACACTGCTAAAATGGAGAGCATTGCTAAATTAAGTACCTTAAGATAAAGACATAAGCAGCCAGATCCATTTGATGTCAGCTGCTTCAATATCCACCTCAAAATAAATTAGCCTTTGTTCTAGATTTAGCTTAATGCTAAGTCCCTTCACCATTCTTAGTAATAATTCAATTCTGCCTCAATTTTCTTCTGATCTTCAAGGTAAATGTACGATAAATTTCAAAATATATCCCAAATATATGAATTTCTTGAAACCATCCTTGAATCTCATTACCTACTCAACAAAATGTTCCATAAACATAAAGAATTGACGAGAACAACAGGGCTCCTTAGATTTAACAATTTCAAATAAGCCCAAGCTAGAATTTTTCATATATTCAAACAAGAAATTGGAAAAATCTGACTAGCTTGCAACGAGTACTACATCTCAAGACAAAGGATCTTTTCAGTCACTCTTTTATTGTATCGAAAACCTACTTGCATCTATGAATAAGCAATACTGTGTGATTTTAGATGTGAAGCTAATTCCATGTGGTAGGACAACTTTGGTTTAAAAAATAAGGGCAGTCCAATTCACTCAATACAAAAAATATTTTTAAATGATGATATTCACAGGAACGTCTATCTTACTTAAACAAACAAACAAAAAAAAAACAATAAAAAGGAGATTGATTTAGAAATGTCCGGAGACTTGAGACATGGACGCTTCATTAGTCAATAATAATAAAGTCCGGAGACTTGAGACAGGGACGCTTCATTGAGACTGTTGTGACCAATTCAGCCCATATAGGTAAAAGAAATGGAATAAATCGACAAGAAATGGTGTCATCACATTTTATTCCACATTTACCCTTATAGACCCTAAAAGAAATATTGTAACATAGGACAAACTTTGTCGCTCCGAAGTTGAATCACTTTTCTATTCTATATACTAAACTTCAATTTTGGACACTTTGCATCTGGTTGGAGGCAAAAGCACAGGAAAGCCCTTTTTGAATGGAAATAGCATAAAAGTCTTAGTGAATGAACAAATTGAATAGACCATTTTGCAGAGCTGTGAGATATTCCAAAGCCGTGAAGCACAGTGATAAGCTACAAATTATAGTGGTTTATATTTATTAATTGTCAATGAATGGTTGTATTTGAGCTATAATTTGAATGGATGTTGCCTAATTTAAGTATATGTTGGTTTTTGTGGGAAAAGCACGCGATTGAGGAGGAAATGAATCGAAAACGCAACAAAAGGGGAAGAAACGTTGGGTTGCCAAGACACAAGGATCCGCGGGTGGATCCTGTGTCCGACGCCAAACATTGAAAGGGACTTTGCGAGGACTTCTTCTAGTTCTAATGATTGGAAAACCCACTAAAACTCGATTTTTGGCAAGTTTCAAGACCCATTCTTACCATATTTCGGATACAACTTTCAAGACCCATTCTTAGTTCATCATTTTTATATCTTCTTTTCTTGAGAGATCACAATGGAATTGTTGAAGAATCAAAGGAAGTTCAAGATGGAGATTGGAGCGGGGAAAAATTAAGAAGTTTTCTTTACTTTTAACTTCTTATTTTGTCTTTCATTTGAATTCTTGGATTTATCTATGAATATGTTGAACTCATTTATATCTAAAGTTAGGATTTTGTGAAGGAGATTTAATTATTTGTTCTAGATAAATTATTCGCTTTTGCTTAGATTTATTTATCTTGCCTTTATTACATGTTTATGTTTTGCCACTATAGATATGCTTTTAGGATTTGTATTGAGTTGAGAAGCGATATACAACCGTACATTAGATAGATAAACATACTTAGTATAATCATGAAAGTAGGTTAAACATTGTATGGCATAATTATATCACCTAAGATTTTAAAAGATTTAATTAAATACTTATAATCTGAAGAGCATCGTGAGATTTATTAGACAAATTTAGAAGTATCAAGAGATAATCTAAAGTACTTTTACGTGATACGTCTTTGACTTGTCAAGAAAATAATTGGATATATAATTCCAATTCTGAATCAAAATTTGAAACTCTGTTTTTTGCTAATTGTTTTCTCACCCATATCTTGTTTGATTTGATTATTTATTTAATTTCTTAATTAGTGATTAAAAACCCTCTGAATTTAAATTTTGTTATTTTTATTAGAGGAATTAAAGTATGAAAAATTAACTCACTGCTGCAGGTTCGACCCTACAGTACTTCAAGGGAATTATTATTACGATCGACCCTGTACAGTTATAGAAATTCATCGATCACACAGCAACTAAAAAAAATTAATGCACAATAATGTCATGAGCAGAAACAGTTCGCATCTTAGCTGTTCATCATTCACGTAGATTTCAATTAGTGGTCAACAAATAAAGGCATCGAAAAAAGTAATCCAACTAGATAAGTGAATTTATACTACAACATATTTCTTTTTTCTACCGCAAAAACTTAACTAATTTACGACAATGTAGTCCAAGCTAATTGAAGATTAATTTTCCCTAAAAAATGTTCATGATAAAAACTCGACAAAGAGATAATACAACAGCTTACTTTTGGAGATGATCTTATACGGTATTTATTAACAAACCAATGAGGAGCGACAAAATGTACATAGGTTCCCTCCATATATTAGCCACTTAAGCCTTTTTTTTTCCTTTTGGGACTACACATGACAAAATGAGGAGTGAATAAGTCACTTAGCATCAAAAATTTTCCCTCCATATAATTAGTTCAACCTGATTTAAGACTAAATTTTTACTATAGGAATGTTAGTGATTCAACAATGAAACACCATAGAAACTTATTTTGGGAGATTGTCCTAGAAGATAAAAAATGAGCAACCAATCAGAATCCATTCAGTCTAATTAATTCACCAGCTATGTATATTTCATCCATTTTCACATTATAGAAAGAACAATAATGCATGGCTTTATCCATCATAAATTGCTCGTATAACATCAAGATATTCATGGTGTGGACCGCAAATGGCTCGTCATGTCTACTGGCTACATTTTAAACATATCTTATGGCCAGAATGATCATCTTATCAACTTAACGAGTTTATTCATAGTACCATACCATTAATTTAAAAAAGTTTCAACCTTTTACCTTCTATAGATGTCAAGGAATATAGCTAATAACGCACTTTTGGCAGCAATCTTCCTTCACCCAATTAAAGATTTTCGGAGCTTAAAGTTCAGCTCCTAAAGCTCTTCTCCAAGGCTCACCAACCAACAGAGAAATTACTTTTAGCAAAGTTGTTAAATTTTGGCAACAGGTTTTGATGGCATCTTGGTAAGATTGGAAGATTATACTGCGCTTCTAAGATAATGTTTAAAAAAGCTATTTTAGTGAGGGCATTATGGTCAATTTGCCCCTGATGATATTGACATTAGGTCCCATCAACATCAGAAGGGAGCTCATTGTATTATTGGATATAACAAGGGTGCTAGTGAAATTATGAAAACCCCAAGGGAGGTTTTTGAAATTAACCCTAAAATACTCATTCCACGCGAGGCGTGGCGTTCCCCTCCTAGTTCCTATAAATAGGGCACCAACTCAATGCACTTATCACTCGATATCAATAATTTAGCACATTATTTACATTTTGAGTGAGATTGTGATCAAATGGCATCTTCAAAAAATTTGCTCTTTCTTATTGGTGTTCTCTTTGCACTTGTGCTCCTCATTTCCTCTGATGCAGCAGCTGCAGGTGCCTAGTCCTTTTTTTTTTTTCCTTTCTTCCTTTTTTTTTTTGGCTGCACCTAAACACTTAAATGAATGGAGATTTGGAGACTCATTATTGGGATGTGAATTTTTATGGAAGTCTATTTGCATATTATCTAGCAAGTCATATTAATGTGCTAATATCTTTTTCATTGTTTAGCAAAAGTAAATTTGGGTTGCTTCTATCAATGGTTAGTGGCACATCTGATTTTTCATGCATCCTTATAGTATTGCTGTAAGGATACACGTTCCATAGTGTCGCACCAAAGATTAAACTAACGTTGAAAACCAAATTAAATGCTTCTAATTATAATTTAAAGCAAAATAATTCATATCCAAGTCGCACCATCTTATATGCCTGGACTGTTTTGTTTAATCCATATTCTTTTCTTTGCATATATCTTGCAAATTTTCAGCCTAGCCGGTCACCTAACGTTCGCAGCTTAAGATAAAGCTCCAAATATTTATGTCTCCTTGTGTCTTGAAACAGATCAGAAGAGCAATAAAACCACTGGTGTCCACGATGCCAGTTCAGGCGAGGTTCATCAGGATAGCATAAGCGAAGATCGTTGCACATATGGTTGCTGCCGCTGGTACAATGGATATTGCCAAAGATGCTGTCCACCTCGTGAGAATTGCAGATATGGTTGCTGCAGCTGGTACAATGGATATTGCCAAAGATGCTGTCCACCTCCTGAGAATTGCAGATATGGTTGCTGCCGCTGGTACAATGGATATTGCCAAAGATGCTGTCCACCTGCTGGGTAGACCCCTGAAGCTACATCCGGAGATGAGGTCAAAAATTAATGCTAAATAAATAAGGGTGTGACACAGGATCCGTGACACCTATATTATTACCTTAATATGTTATGTTGTGTTTGCCTTTGATGGTTGATTTCCTATATGTGTAAAAGACTTGTGCGGCTTCTCTTTGAATTGGTGTAGAATCAACAGGGGAAGCATGTAATGAGTACTCAGTTCGAGTGCTCTTCTTATGTTGTTGTCATGTTGAATAAATAAATCTACTTGATCATCTACTGCAATTGATGATCTCTATCTCAGTTACATCAGAAACTTCTGTACCTTGGACCTGCTAGAATTTAGTGTGATTGATATAAGACGTGCAGAATGTTCACTATATGTATATATGTGCTTCTTCATCGTGCCATGCCATTACAATGTGAAAGAATTCAGCATCGACGGAGTGAAACGTACCCAATCCTGCTCCTGAGAAAGGAAACAAAGTCCCTCAAAAATGGATATTTTGGATGCCATCAAGATTTTGAATTGAATGCCATTTGGAGATCTGAATGTTGTTTTCTTTTACCTTTAGCTTCGTTCAAGATTTTTTTGGTGGAAATGCTTCATTTATACGAATTTTCCTAGTTAGTAAATGCTTCTATTACACTTGTACAATACACATTTAAAAGTATAACACAATAAAAGCTTGTGTAGTTCATATATTTCAAAAATATTCATACTTTTCAACTAAATTATAAAAATACGTAGTAAATTCTTGATACATTATACTTTACGAACTATACTTTAAATTTTACAAATATTTAATACTATCACTTATCAATAACTCCACATGTTAATTTGTCTCCCAATTCAATAAATTATAGTACTTCCTCCCTTTTTTTATAACTGACGTTTAAGGTTTTGCACACCAATTAAGAAAAGTTTTTCATTGCTTAAATCTGTACACTACTTTTCTTTTGTACCCTCATTAATTGTCCAATTCACCCATGTTTTCTCTCACTAGAATACGGAGGGGCAGATAATTACTAGGGTTGTTACAAAGAGAGAAGCAATAATTACTAGGAGTAGTAATTAAGAACCCTGTATTGGAAAAGAGAGATAAAAGGGTAAAATTGTGAAAAAATAATAAATACTGTATGGAGATAATAAAACGACAGATAAAAGTACACTAGAGCAAATTTTTTAAACGTCAGTTATAAAAAAAGGGAGGGAGTAGCTAATTCTCAAAGCTAACCGACACCAAAATTCCCTCACTTGTTCACCTCCTAGTGGATTTATATTAATTACATTGCATTTATTTCCTAAGCATGAGTTTTGTAACCCCTCATATTAAATCTCAACGATTGATTTTAACGGTTACCAAGGCGTCTAGTAATTGGTTTGCTATTAATTTGAACTAGACATTTATTAGGTCTAGTAGAATTTATTCCTTCTTATCACTTAGTTCATAAACCTTATGAATCGTTAAAACCAGCTCTAACATTAGCTAACAAGACTTCTACCATTTCGGGTTTTGCTTAGAAATCAGTCTGATAGTTTAACTTGCTTCGTCCAGCTTTATGAGTTGCTTTTTTTTTTCCATATTTGACATTTCACCTAACTTTAATATGGGGACCAAGTTAGTATTGTTGACATTTCATATCTAAGACCAAGTTAGTATTGTTGACATTTCATCTGACTTAGTTAGTATTGTTGACATTTCATATCTAAGACTTCTTAATTAATTGATTTGTTATAAGAACTATAACGTATGCGTGTTTTGTAAGCTTTCATGTTTTTTTTTTAATTCTTGTGGACCAGCAACGGATAGTTTCTTCTAGTACCAAGCTTCCTTTGAAGTTCTTTATTATTATTATTTTTTGCGTGTCCAAATGTAAATTAAAAGAACCAACAACTTTGAACAAGTCTATATCTAGTAAAGATAGATATAAAGAGGGATACTATATCACTGCAACAGAAAAGGGATTTGGCGAGGAGCAAAAGTCCACGCCAATTAATTTCAGCGAGAAAAATGCTTCCTCGCCAAGTTTCTTGCTAGATGCTCATCGCAAAAAATTATTAGCGAGGATGCTGCTGCTTTTCTCGCTAATGAAACAGATCAATAGCAAGGGTTGACCTCCTCGCTAATAGCTCAAATACTATGGCGAGAAAAACTTTTCTCACCACTAAAGTTAAAAACTCCCCACAAAAACCAGTAGTTCCTTGCAAATAGTCAAGGTGTTTTGCTAGGAAAAATGGCGCATCCCCACCAATAGTATAGAATTAGCAAGAAGTCTTTTGACAAATCTGCAATGCCCCGCGTACCAGCAAAACATTTTTGGCTAGGAAAGTTTCCTCTCTAATAAGTGATAATTGATTATTGCCTAACTGTTTGGTGGGAAAATGTTCCTCTCCAATGCTGTTATGAACATTTCTTAATCCCATTTTAGCATGCTAATCTTAATTCTCTGAGCAAATTACTGGGTGGTTTTATTAGAAAATTTAGCTGCAAATAGCTTCAATTTGGCTTCTCATGTGTCTGTTGTACATTTTCCAGGTTCTTATAAGTATCAAATTGTTTGGCAAAATTATTTTTTTTAATGAATCATGACCAACGTAGCTGCTCATTAAATTTAAACTCATAAGCCCTGCTATTGATAGCTTTTTGGAATATCACTTGGTGCCAACAAACCCCATTTTGCTACTTTGATAAACATTCAATAGAAAACATACAAAAGCTTTGGTTAGCTAAAAATAATTGCTAGCAAAGTAATACATCAACATCCAGCTCTTTCAACATCTTGAGCCATACAATAGGAAGTGCTTGAAATCAATTGGCAATCCAAATTTTTTTTAGCTCATTAACCATCCAAGAAATCGCAACTTCAATAAGTCATTACAAAAGAAGATTTCATCAAGAGAACACCACAAAAAGGAGAAGCAGAAAAAAAATATAAGAGAGAGAGAGAGAGAGAGTTAAACTAGTCACATGGACACATATTTGTCACCTCAGTATTTCCGATTCCTTAATTCAGCCCAGTTATCTTGGAACTCTATCGGCAATCCATGGAACATTTTTTGAATGACAATATGCTGTTGCAACCTTCTGATGAAAACTTCAAAGGTTCTATGATAGGTTGTATTTTTGTCATTAATTCTATGATTATTTTCCTTGTTTATATTACCAAATATTATATTAATTGCTTGATTCTACTTATATTTAGTATTTTGTGTCAATTGTAGGAAGGTGGAGCAAAAAGTAATAAAAGAGGTGATTTTTCAAGAGTTTTCCAATTCAAGATGGAGTTTACGTGGAGTATTGGATGAAAATTAGGAAACTACCACTTTTTATTAGATGTCTTATTAGGGAACAATTAGCATTAGTTGGAGAAGTTTCCTTTTACAATTAGAATTCTATTTTTAGTTGGCCAATGGACAGCCGAAGTAGTAGACTTCAATTAGGAAACAAAGAGAGAAAAAAGGCCGGAATCTCTCGTGATTACTACCTTGGAGGGACAAGTAAAAGGAGACGGCCGCTGGTCTCTTCTTTAGTGAGTATTTAGGGAAAAACCAATGGTTATCGATGGAGTCATGCGGATCTCCCCTGAGAATGTGTAGCTAAATCTTCGTTTTCTAATCGAATGTCAATTTGAGGACTTTGTTCCAAACATCTGTGAGATCGAATTATTTTACTTATTTCTTTTATTCATTGGTATTTGTGCGTTTTCTGATTTAACTTCTTATGCTTATTATGTTATTTGAATGTCAAGTGCCTGATATTCGAATTAATCTAATAATCTTCTGCCAGATTAATTGATTGAATCCGTAATTGTTCAATTGATTAATACTAGTGGCAACTAGCATGATTGGTTTCATGTTAGGAAAACGTATGATCTAACTTAAACGAACCGTCATAGCGTGTTTGTTAGTTAGGGTTAGACTTTTCTAATTCTTATTGCAATCGAGAAATTAAATCTTATAATCGTACCTAGGGTTATTTCGCGATTAGGGAAATAGTTAATGGTCGTACCTTAACTATAAAAAAAGTAAGGAAACACTGGTTGTTTATCGTGTGTATGATAACTATAACCAATCTATTAATTAGTAATTGAATTATCTTTGCATTGATGATCAGTTGAATGGACCATGTCTGAAAAGTTGCACCTTTGGTTAGAGTTGTATTGGTTATTGATTAATTCCTGTTTATTTCTATTAGTTGTTTCATTAGTTGATTAATTAATTATTTTATATTTTCCAAAAATCCCCCATACTTCGGACTCTGGAAGAAATGAATTATCTCCAGTCCCTATGGATTCGACTCTGCTCACCGCTATGTATAAATTTGTATTTTTTTTGAGTAGGTAATTATTAGTACACAGGTTCGACACCTGTCATTCTATAACTATATACAGAGTCATCTTTTTCAAAGATTTCCTATGCTGCAAAATGTCTATGAGCTTTATTTCATCTTCCTCCCCTATAAATTTTCTGATTCCAATCTGCCTAAGATGTTCAACAAAGTGTATTGGGAAAACTGTTTGGAAAAGTAGATTCTAAGTCCTTGTATATGCAAAGTCCTCCTTACACAACTTTACATATTGAGAAGATAAAAAATTGCAGAACATAATAACACTTGAAATTAGTGAGAATATATCCAAAAAAAACAAAATATTAATACTCGAAATCAAGTTTTACAATCAGTGCACAAAAAGCACCTAAACCCAAATGACCCATGTTTTGGAATAGACCAAGTTTAGTTCAACTGCAGAAATTCCTAGTACAAAGGAACAACAACTTCAACTTCAATAAATTGCAAGCTGGTATTATGATTCTATGAATCCTGAAGCTCCCCCAAGTGCTCTTGCCTCCAACACTAAGTATGTACACAGACGCTGACCTGTTCTATATACTTGTAGGTAAATTCAGATCAGACGGCATTCAATAGAACTGCCTTGATTTGGCTCCATATCAGCACTACTACTCTTTAAATCTAACTTGATTAAGCTGCACAAAAGGGAAGATTACATTAGATGGAGAAATTTTACTGATTGCATATGAAATAGGGCCTAAAACCAACTAGGAAAAGCAGAGAAGTTTCTTAAATAAATAGGTATTTCTGGGCGTCAGTGGCTATGTTCTTTTGCTATTCAAGTAGAAATAAGGAAATGAAGATTTGAAATCAGAGTTCTTCACCTGCTTCCCGTATTGCTTTTATCTCTTTCCCATTAGTTGCTTTAAAGAATTAAAGAAAAGTAGCATAAACGTTACTCTTGCGTATATATTTTTTCCTTGTTTCACTCTTACATGACAAGGGTACAAAACCTAATTGAGGG